AATTTGATATATGTCATTTTCCATAGAATGTCTACACATCTCAGTGCACTAAAAATATTAGACTATCTGCCAGTTATCTTTCATGAGACTTATTTTACCAAGTTGCGTTACCTACGTTTAATGTCAAATAATGGATACATATTTTTTATGATCTTTGGCTACATTAAAAGATAACAGAAACGAAAGAAACGATAAAGTGAAAGAGGCCACGGAGGGACTGACATGCGAGGTAGCAGAAATCTAAAGACAGTTAAACATACGCGCTTTATACATACATGCCACATGAATATGTGGATGATACCACATGTGTACGTTAAGTGTATATGTTTGCAACTATTTGTACTCGTATGTATGGGTATATGTGCTTCGTTTTTGTTTGATGTGTGTGTGTGTGTGTGGTTCGTTTGTGGAACAATTTTCAATAACAGTTTCAAACCTACACGTCATAATTTCATCCATTTTACTTCGGTTGATTTTTTTCACTTTGAAGTATTTTGACGTTCCTTGAGGAAAAGTAATTTTTGTTAAGTGTTTTTGAATTTTAGATTTTCTTTTGTTTTTTTTCTGATTTCTCAATGTTTATTTTCATTATGGTTTTAAATATTTAGGTTGATAGGGGGTCTGCATATGTAATTTTCCTTAAGTTTTCATTAATGGCCTTCGACCGGCCCGCGACCCGTCATTATAACACGATCCGGCCCGCGGTTTAAATAGTAGGACTTGTATTTGTAAATATTTAATAAACCGTAAAAAATCAGTCAATCAATTAATAAAAAGGAAAAGCCGAAGAGACACTGTCTCCGTAGCTGTGATGGTTATATATTACCCAAATAAGTCTAACCCTCTTGCTGGATTTGACCGGATTAGATATTTACAGTAAAACAGCCATTCTAACATACGATTCTGTCACATCACAGTTTTCCGAAGCTTATACCCCTACCTAATTTGCTCTTGTTTAACGTTAAGCGAAGGTTAGTAAATTTCAACTCTCTTACACGTATATATTGTCTATTGACCGCCGAGATACAGAAATTGCTTACATCAAAGAGTTTATCTATTCTCGTATATAGTAAGCTGTATAGGCAAATGTGCTATAAATTCGTTTATACTTACAGACATGCAACACATATATTAATCTTGGTATATTTCCGTGTTTAGGGGATTTTTCTTATATTTATAACCACGGTCCATAAATTTGTGTACATTAATATATAAAAATTATTTATTATGACACATACATATATATATATATATATATATATATATATATATATATATATGAGAAAGGCCCATAAAATTTACGTACCATCAAATGCAATAATTTTCTTAGCGCAGATTGCCTATCTTGATCGATGGTTATTATTTTAGAGTTCAGCATTCTTTTTTTTTCGTTTGATCTTCTGAAAGCAGACTTCTTCTGTCGTCTGGCCGTAGCTATAGAGTTTTTCAACGTATCTACCCTGTTCGTGGACATGCACAGTTCATTAGTAAATATCTCAGTTCTCACCAGCGGTGGGTGAGGCCAGTTGCAGGCAAATGCTTCAACCATAACCTTAGATCCGTCCAGAAAAGACTAAGCTTAAAATAATAGCCGAATTCAAACATGTAATAATCAAATAGAGAAAACCGTTTAATATTAACATGGAATAATTATAGAGCTTTTGTTCTACCATACATCATAGAAATAATAATAATAATAATAATAATAGGCAAAATGGTTGACGTAACTCTCCCAATATTTTAAGAGTTAAGAGAAGAACCCGATTTAAGAAAAGATAGAGAAAAGAATTAAGTTATATTTTTAAAAAAATTCAAGTATAAAATATTTAAATCTACAAAAAAATACCACTTTATCCACTCCTCAAGGACACATGGCACAGTGAATAAAGGCGTTGGTTAGATTCAGTGACATGACCCAAAGAGTGTGAGTTCAATACCCGGTTAAGGCAGTGGAGAACTTTCAGAGAGAAAATTAACAGGAGATAACTGACAACTGACACGTGGAACCAGAACAGTCTACCCCAGTGAGCGAAATAAAGGATTCAGTTCGACATTCCAACCACCTGAAGAAGGCCGGAGCGTACAACGGCCGAAACGTTGTAATAAATATGGCGACAAAGATGAGGACAATAGTCCGAATAATGTAAATAATGTACATAATACCTCATCTCAGAAATATAGACAGATACTGAAAGGCCGAAACGTTGTAATAAATATGGCGACAAAGATGAGGACAATAGTCCGAATAATGTAAATAGTGTACATAATACGTCATCTCAGAAATATAGACAGATAAAAAATTATAAGTTTTTGTAGAAACGCAGCGTTTGTCTTATGATGAAAAAACAAAAAACGGATGTAGTGGTAATCAACGCGTCAAAACGAATGAAACGCCGTTCGTGTGAAGTCATGAAACTGAAACATGCTTAATATGATGGTGATCTTGTTCATTTAAAAATTTTCCGTTAGTTGATTTGTTACTAGGAGGAAAACAGCTTAGTAATAATAATAATAATAATGGTAAACTATTCTAAATTTGACGAACATCTTAAGGTGCACATTCTGATAAAAAATATCCAGAATTCAAACTTTGGCCATTAAAACGCACAAGGATAGTTACGTAAGCAAACTACTAACGCTCCACCCCGCGAAAGAAAGAATGAAGAAAATGACAGGAGAGTTCCATGAAATTTATACTTTTTGATTAATTGCTCTTACTAACTCATTAACTAATTGTTGTGGTAGGATCCACCTAATTTGCATAGTGGAGTACCGACCATATAAATATGGTTGGTACCGGGAAGACGGGGAGAAGGAATCAAGAGATTCAATCCAGAGACTCTGCCCGACTGCGACTAAGTCAACACATTCTCCAGGAACGGTCTTCCCAAGAATATACAAAAGACTATATGTAAATATTGTGTACCTTTCTTGTTTCAATACATTTTGTTCTAAGTACATTTTGTGTTGTATTATTATTCCATGCATTAATCAAGTTTCAACACTAATGGAAAATTTCAACATGTCCAACACCCTATCATGTTACTTACATTTACGTTTCATTCCATTTACTGTAGTCGTGTTTCATTGTTGCGTTGATTACCAGTACAATGGCTTTTCTTACGACAACCAACGGCTTGTATTCTTGTTAATTATTTTGATAGTTTTATCCTTCTATACAATTTTTAAACCTAATTTGAAAAAGACAGACATACTGTTGAAATATTGTTAAACTTCGTTAAACACCGAAACTTCATTTCTTTTTATTTTCTTAAATCGCGCTCTGGTTTTTATTAGTTTTTTTTTTAATTATTTCCTTGGATTTCTGTTGTATACATATCTCTTTCCGGATCCCAACCAAAGACCTGATGCTAGAAATGACTTCATGTCATTTTCTACTGACCATTCTTGTAAAAGAAATTCTATAAAATGAACTAAGACCACACACATTTTACATAGATTAGGCTCTTCGTAATGTGTGAACTGTATTTGTGAATAAAGATTTTGTATTTCTTTAAGGCATAAGCTGCCAGGAATCCAATGAGTCTATCGGAAAATTTCCCGAGGACTCCAACTACAACTGGAATTAATGATGTCTTCGCGTGCTACATTTTTTTTTAGATTTCCACTTTGAGATGCTTATAGTTTGATAGTTTTGAAGATATTCAAAGACTCATTACAGTCTACAGGGACCGCTATGTCAATATGAAAGCACATTCTGTTTTTGTGGTTTTTGATCACGATGTCTGGGTGCTTAGATTTGATTGTTCTGTCTGTGTGTATTGTAAAATCCCATAAAATTGTTACAGGTCCTATCTCTGTAACCGGGTCTGGGTGATAATCATACCAGTTTCTTGCAGTTTCCTTCCGGTAAAAGGGGTATATTTTCCAGTGCAGGTATTGGTCTACTCTATCATGCTGAATTTTTTATTCAGTGGATGCCAAAACTGTGCAACCTGATACAATTTGGTCAATTCTTTCTGAATAATTATCATAGAATCTGAATTAATAATAATAATAATAATAATAATAATAATAATAATAATGATAGAAAAAATGTTTTCACAAGTACAGCTCACACCTTACGAAAGGCTTTATCTGTGTAAAATGTTTTATTTTTATATTTTTAACAAAACTGTTCAGTGGAAAATGTCATGATACCATTTCTGACCTTAGGTCTCTGGTTGGGACCCGGAAGGAAATGAGTATGTAACAGAAATCAAAGGAAATAATAATAATAATAATAAATTATTATTATTATTATCACCCACACGTTGTACAGAACGAAGAGATTACCAATGTCTGGAATTCTAGCAGTCTGATAAGACATACCAGACAAATCTAGCAGACATATGATCATATTTATCAAAGCCTTTCCATATCACTATATCTGTACGTATAGATCTGATTACTTTCAGAGTCTACTGTCTGGACACTTCGACGTGGTGCAATGGTTATAAAGCTTGTCTTGCTAGAGAGTTCGATCCTCACTGGGTGCTTCACATTTTTGACCTTATGCCGCATCTAAGGTATGCTTAGAAAATCCCCATAATCTACGATCTACCTAGCTTATAACTTCTCTAATCCGGTTCTTTCCAAAATAATTAACCGTTATACTGATGACGCTCTTCTTATGTATTCTCGTGATATTGATTGACCTGGCCGAGCAGATCAACAAAACAAAGTCGAACACACAACAGAATTTACATTTGAAATGTAAGAACAGGATTCTTTACCCTAGATATCAAAATATACTGCGTTATCAACAGTTTAAAACTCGGTGTCCACTGGAAATCAACCAACAAAAATGATCTCATAAATTTCTATTCTCATCATAACAACAAAATAAAATCCAGCATAATCATTGTATTCTACCTAAAAGCACTAATAATATGCAGGTCCGATTATTTACACGAAGAGGAGAAATACATTGAAAACACGTTCAAACTTCTCCAGTACACTAATTATTTTATAGTCAATGTAAAACAAAAGGCCCATTA